CTAATATTAATATATAAAAATAATATTATATATTAATTATATAACTTATATTATATAAATATACAATATCTATATTAGTATATTACTACTATAGTATATTAATATATTATTATTATTATTTTATTATATATTATAATTTATAAAATTTAATGTTTTAAAATATAATAAATTTTTTATATATAATTATTTTATATTATTTTATATTTCAAACAATAACGATTCGAACACGAACGAACGCATCACTGTTCGTGTTTGGTTCGTTTAACTAACCGAACGAAAAAAATTTGTTCGCGTTTGTCTCGTTTACTTATCAAACGAATCAAACACGAACTCATTAACGAACCAAACACGAACTGTTCGCGAACAACGAGCTTTTTTGACAGCCCTACTGCCCAGTACTTAGGAGGGCTTGCTTAGGCTCCAAAAGCGCTCACTCATATCTAAGGAACCTTTGAATATGCCTCTAATCTTGATCATTAAGTCTACATTTTAAGGTTTTATAATAAATGTATTAATTAATTTTTTTTCTTTTTATATGATTTTTTTAGGCCTAAAAAACTTATAAAATGGGATCAAAGGGGATAAGCCATTGCAGTTATGGTAATTATTTCGTTTTCTGTTGTATATATAATATTTAGAGCTTCTTTCTCTGGAATTCTTTGCTTTCTAGTTTTCTCCGCTTTTACTTTGCCTGCTCAAGATTGTAATATCTGCTAGTAAGGTTCAAGTGCCACCCATGAATAAATTGGGATCCGACACAAGGTGCTGTGACAGTTTTCCTTCTATTGCTAGTGGGTTGCAATTTCCTTTATTATTGTTGGATTTGGTGGCATTTTTGCATCTTTCCTTTTATTGCAAATCTGTTGTATTTTTCTTATTTTGGGCTTATTTACTGTAGCATGGTCCATTTCTTATTATTTTGATATCAGAAATTACCATCTTGATGAAATATAAGAATGCTGAAATTGAAACTTGCAATTTTTGATCCGATTTTAGCGGATTTTCAGAATTACTAGTCTTTTATGATTATAAATGGGATCCTCGAGACATCTATATGAAGAATAAATATTTAATAAAATTCTTATTTTCCTCTTAAATTTGTGCTTGTTAGTTGGATGTGGATCCTTATAATGTGGTGCAAGTACTGATGACAACTTCCAATGGATGCTTCAATTTTTTTGCATTATTGTCCTTGTATTTTATCTAAATACTTTGTTATTAATTTTTATTGGAAGATTGAGATTTGGTGAAGTTTGCTATATGCTAGATTTTCTTGATTGTAGTGTGATTTTTATTCGTTCTCATTTTTTTTGTAAAAGTTTTTATTTTGACGACTTTCAAATTATTATTTGAAATGAATTGTCAGTGTTTTATAGATCTGTACCAAAGAAGTTTAGTCTGGCTAAAATAAAAGTGGAATCTACGAATTGTGATTTTTGACGTGGTTTTTTTTTTGGCCATCTCTTAGAGAAAACTAAAACCTACGATGTGAAGCTTCAATAAGCTTGGCATATTCATAAGGTTTGAACTATGTATTTTGAATTTGATATCAACATATATTATCCGTTAAATTTGTTCAATTACTTGAAACAAGCTTTGCAGCCGTTAAAATGACATGGGATTACTCATTTTTAATATTTACTTTTTTGCAGTCATGTGTTATTATTGTTTAAGCCATTTTAAAGAAAACCTTATCAAAATTGATGAGTGATGCAAAATACTTGTGGTTCTAGAGTTCTTAATGTGACGATTTAATGGATGTAGATTACATAAAAGAAATAAAGGTTCACACATCTAAAACTAATAGTTATACAAAATATGCCTTTTAAGGTCTTAACTAAACGATACGTGAAAATGAACCAAAAATGATAATACATCGATCAATTAATTAAAATGAAGTCAATAAGAAATTTAAAACATAAAAATCAATGAATAATTATATTTTATAATGCAATTTAAATTTTGGTTATAGTAAATTTAACAAAATTCAAGAATCTAACAACAAAAGCTAAATATTAGAGAAGAAAATAGATAAAGAAAGCAGATCATCCAAGAAGGAATACACCTCATACTGGTGCATGAAAATAACTTCAAATAACAAAGTCTATAGAACCATAGGATAAGACATTATAGATCACACCACACCTTAAGCTGGAAACCAACAACCCAACAATCCATAGAGAACTTCATGTTTTCATAGGTCACAACATCACATGCATGATTACAAATTTAAAATAGAAATGAAAAAATATAAAATAAATATGAAATAAGAATACAAAACTAAAACAATACAAATCTTCTATTTGCTTAATATTTTTAGTAAATGTAAACTTGTAATTCTCCATCAATTTTTTTCTTTAAAACTGGAGAAAATTTGACTTTGATAAATTTAACATTTGGTATTCATTAAATAGGCCAGGACATAAATGATGTTGTTCCTGCAATATAATCCATGAGTCAGAAATTGGTCTTTCACATTAGTGCACAAGATGACATTGGAATCCACCTTCAATAGTAGGCACAGTTTAAACCTCTAAAATGATTTCAATAAAAAGTTGTATGAATTTGTTTGATTTAAGTGTTAGATTTGAATTAAGTAGGAGAAGATGGAAAAATAAGAATTTTAAACATTGGTAGTAGATGTTTGAAATATGGTTAACCACATTATAGATTGAGTTGAGGACAAAGTTTATTGTAAATTTTAATTTATGGGAATTGGTTTTAATACAACAACCGCAACATGAAGCCTTAATCTCCCTAAGTAGGGTCAACTATACGATCCTTTTTTTCTATTGTATCCTATTGAGCATCATATTTTCATTTAATTCTTAAGATATTTTTTTACACAAGAAGCCCTAGTCTTTTTACGTCTATCTATAGTTTTCTCAACATAAATCTAAAACATGTACTCTCCTAATAGGGTCATCAAATTATCGACATTTGATGTGACCAAATCATCTAAGGCGACTCTCTCTAATTTTGTTTGTCACTAGACTCCAACCCTTTCACGGGCATATTCATTTCACATTTTGTGTCTAAGTGCAAAGCCACTCATTTAGTTGAGCATTCTCATCTCAACAACACTTAACTTAATTTTATGCTTCTCTATTACAGGCTAACATTTTGTGCCATAAAACATTGCAAGTCTCACAACTATCTTATAAAGTTTTCTTTTAAATCGAAGCGGATAGTCCCGATGCATTCCTCCATTTTAACCATCCAACTTGAATTCTACTAATAA